TCACAGCAACATATTGAGATGATCTTAATTTGAACCGCAAGCATTTGGAAAATTAAAACCTTTCGCTTGCCAGAACCAAAAAAAAAAAAAAGAACCACAGATTTCGACTGCTGTGGTGTCTTTGGTCGGCTTTGAAGTAAGAGTAGTCCCCAGGGACCCGAGACTCTACTTGTTATAGTAACTCTGAGACCAAAGGGGGAAACGGGAAGCTGAGGGGACAAGGCAGCCTTCTTGCTGTGGGTGAAACTATCATTTCACCTCAGGAGAAACTTGGGAAGGATAAACCACCAAACCATGATGAAGGACCGTGGATGTAGAGAAACTGCTCAGAGAGGTTGTAAACCACCACAGCGTGCCCTGTTGTTCGGGAATAACATACTATTATCATCATCATCATCATCACCATTACCATAAACATTAGAAACCAACCTATGAGACCATCTTGAAAATCAATTACAATCATCTTGAAGTAGCTTTCCATTGAACTTCTAGGAAATAGAGGAATAAATAAAAGCTTTTATCAACCAATACAAGCTGCTTCTTCATTCTAAATATAACCACTAGATAAGACAAGATCTGATCAAACATTTACTGAGAACATAAAAATACATTTTCTTACAGGCCTCAAATTTAAATCTATTTGAAAGTGTGACTCATTTGATGATATAAAGCCATGTTTGCTTAAACTCACTCATTCTAGAATGCAGGCCTATCTCTCCCTGAAACACATTCACACACCAAATGTTCCCAGTGAAATAAACACACAAGCATGTGCACAGACGCACACACAGAAACCCCTTCCTGTTTTCAAAGTGTTTGGAAACTCAATCAAAGACACAAGGTTTAGGATTTACATCTGTGCCCTTTTATGTCTGTGGCCTCGCAGGAAAGAACCATCTCAGCCCAGCTGCAGCAAAGAGCTCACAACAAGGCCCAGCCTTCATGCTCCCACATGCAGCACAACTGAAAACAATATCCATAATTCAGACACTTAGGGCTAAAAGCACTTCTTAGAGGTATTGAGACATGGTCTGTGAACATCAGAGGCCCTCCTTGACAATGATATAAAGATATGCCCTGCTATCTGGAGGTTGTGATGAAGACACAAAAAAGATAAAAGATTTTTTTTTTTTTGTGGAGGCCAGTGGAGTTTTACAACAAGTCTTTGTCTTGAAAATAAGAAAATTGGTTGAAAATACTCAACATACACTGCTGACATTTAGGCCAGTTTATGCATGCTCCTAAAATACTTGAAGAGGAAATGAAAATTATAAGAGGGAAGTGGCACGGGTTTAAAATACACAGAATCCAGACCCAAATCTGGCCATGGGAATGGAACAGTCCACCACTATACAAGGCCTGCTCAGTTTGTTGGCTGGTCTCAGTTACAGACAGTCCAAGCCCTCTGGTAATACAGAGGATCATTGTCATTAATCAGACCAACAATAAGACAGCTTCTAATAGAATCTGCAGACACTGGGGCATAAATATTCTGAATGCAAAATAACTTTGAGGATTATATAACTGTTCATCTTAAGTAAAGAAATGTGACATTGAAAGAAAGTTCAAGTAAATATACACTAATTTCGACAATATACAGTAAATGTATCTTAAATCTACACCTAAGGGTTAAATGTGTGCCTAGCAACCCATAAAGTAAAATGCTATTACTCGTACCCTTAAGTGTATTGTCAAATAACACACTTTATTAGCCTCTTTAAACCACTGTAGTCACAAGAAACACTTCTCTAAAATAATACAGAGACAAACCCTAAGATTTGTTCAGCTCAGCAGACATTATCAAAGGTTAGATGTGTGTATAGCTTAGACTTGGCCAGCTAGTCAAGCTAAGTGTTCATGGAGGTCACAACGAACAACTGGCAGCAACCCCAAATAATACAATCTATAAAAAGGTCCAGGAAATTATTTAGCTTAACATAAGGGCCACAGGATATAGGCAATTAACCAGGCCATAAAGCACTGGCCCTAACAGCTGAAGTAGCTGTCTCCCTTTGTCGTTTTAGGACATGATGGGGGCTGTTTGGGAGGAATGTGTTTGGAAAGCTCTCCAACAGGAATGGGAGTGTGAAACAGCCCTCAGGTGATAAGATCACGACACCCGTATTGGCAGATAAACCGCTGAGCTGTCATATCAATCACACAGATAGGAAGAGGACACAGAAGAGAGAGGAATCACTGAGGATCACCTGACTGGCAAAAGAGAATACCACAGAACTGCAGGAATCTAAAACAATGAGGCTGTGCCCTGTGCATGTTCAGTGGAGTATAGAGGCAACTGACCTTCACTAATAAAAATGGATGAGGGCCTGAATAATCTTAAAGTATGTAGGCACACAAAGACTTAAATATAAATGAACACACGTTTGAGTGCTTGTTTTCTTAGAGTATACATTACGGAATCTCTATTCGTCCAACAACAGCCTATTTAATGTTTTTAAAAGGAAAACTAGTTCAGAAATGAGAAACGTGCCATTCTAGCCTGTTATCATCTTTAAAAACAGCTAAATTCTCATGTATTCCATGACTACACGAAAAGAGTAGCGACAACACACGGACAAAAGACACTACAGGCCACTGCCTTGGCTGAAATAAATATATTAGATAAATGTGACATTCAAAGAGAAGCTGCTACTTTCATGAATCTCCCACTTCTTCTAATGTGACCATAGCCCTTGTCAGCTAAATTTACATTAGCCTCATAACACACCACACTCTCCGATCCACACCAACGCACATGCAAACCAAAAACTGACGGGGCTTTATGCGCCTTCTTGTCATTTAGCCTTGTGACCATAGTTGCACCAAGGCCAAGTAACATGTTCTCAGCAAAGGGTGTGCTGTGTGTACACCAGTTTGGCTTACCACCCATCATTCAGACAAAACCACACCGGGACTATCTCTTCACACGCTTCATGGGGTTTTTCTTTTTGAATCAAAATGATGTTTACGGTGCAGGCTACAAGAGAGCAAGCACGTGTTTCTTAAATCCAGCTTGTACAGCGAAGCATAAAGTCAAAAGATAAGCAAGATTTAAACAAAAATAAATCTATTTAAGAAAAAAAGGATTTTTCCGGGCTTAGATTGAAGTTCATTGTATAAATGGAAGAAAAAAGCATGTGAAACTGTACAAATATTCTTCATCATTATCCCTGATGCTAAGAAATTACACACAAAAAAATGAGGTTTCATCATTAGAAATGGTTTATGAAGGAGATTATCTTCACTCCATTACCATGAATCGTATCACAAAACAGAAAGGCGGTGGAATCATAGCAACAATGTTCGGATCGCCATCTTTGCTGCTGTTATCGCAAAGTGTGTGACAAGCCCAACACACACAACTAGCATCAAACATGCTAGCTAATTATTATGACACAATTAAAACTAAATCAAGCATCAGCTCAGATGAATACAACTGAAAGAAAATGTCATCAACAGAGGACTTGTGTTGTTATCCATTCTGAGTGCCTTGACATGAGGCAGAAGAACTCAGTGACATGTGTTACATAAAAACCAGAAGTGTAGTTCAAGGACAAAGCCTCCGTGTATTAAATCAATCTACCTCATAAAAAAGGACCAGATAGATGGTGATGGGGAGAAAAACATGGGTGTGTTTCGAGCATTAAACCGTGACACTGTAAATGGCCGAAAAGGGCATATGACTTCCTCTGTGACAAATACATTATCGGAGAAAATTCGGTGCAGAAACGTCGGTTCAACGCAACATGTGCGGCGATTACATAAAATAAAGAAGTGAAGATGAAGAAGAGGAAGAAGAAGAGCAGCTGTGGTGTTTACATGTGACGCTTCGTGCAGGAAACGCATTGTGTGCTCGTCGGTGCAATGCGAAACAGTGTACAGTGCTGTGAATGGGCAGGCAGGTACTTTATGAATGGAGGGGGATCATGTGACCGCAGCACCTCCCGAAGCAGATATTTCTCACTGACTGTCAACAAGCGCACACAAGGGATCGGCCCATTGAAACAACACACACACACACACACACAAAACACACGACTCGAAATGGGCGCGACGTGCACAAACACAACCTCGCACACGGATTAAAAAAATAATCGACATCCGAGGATCGTGTGGATTCGATGACGCCTTTTTTTAAAGCGTTTTTTTTTTATGAATGGAGATTGTGATATGTAAATGAGTGTGATTGAGAAAAAAAATGGCATCTTCAGCTTTTCAACGCCGCAACGAGCTCGGTGGGATTTGTTTGAATGTTTCTGAACTAAAGAGTGAAATACAAAAAAAACAAGGGCTGCAGGGTTTTTAATCGATCGTCATGTTCTGAAATCATGGCGGACTACAGTTTAACACACACATGGAGGTTGTCAATAAAACGCTGTGTGATCGTGAGCTGACGTGTATGGAAAATCATATGTTGGGTTTCATTGTTGCTGTGTATGTGATCACAAATAATAATCTATATCACTACTATCACAATAACTGCAGTCGTACTGATTATCAATGGTGTATATGAACCAAATCATACATATGCAATCATTAAAATGTCTATAAAACAGTGGTTTATCATGAATTCCTGCTAAATACAGGCTTGTATAGATTATAAGAGCATTAGTGTTAAAGGGGAGACGTATTTCTTTACACCAGGCCTGTGTCATTGCTTGTGTCCCACACTGTTCTTCTTAACCTCACATTATAATCCATACATTCTCTGTCTATTAGCCAACAAACGTGTCCCAGCAGCGATTATTTCTGATTGTTCAGAATCAGTAAACGTGAGGTGATGAAACAGCAGCGTTGCTCGGTTAGAGATGTCATTGGGAACCGTGGTGGAGGTGGTGGTGGTGGTAGCATTGTGTCCACCGAGTACAGCGCGTGTTAACAGATAAAACACACACATCCACGGTGGTTATTCACTGCGAGCTGCATGTGTGCGTGTCTGTGTGTGTCTGTGTGTGTGTGGACGGAGGTGGAAGCAGATACAAGTATTAAAAGACACTCACTCGTTGTTTGGATTTGTTGAATCTTCACTCATTTTTTTCCTCACGGGGATCCAAGTCCTAGCAATAGCATCGACGACGCAGTGACGGCGGGACAGAATACCACGAATATCACCATTTTCCTTCGCATGTACAAATCACCTCTTATTTCGGGTAGTGGGCAGAGGACGTGCGATGGGGCATTGCCCGGATAAAAGCGTCCCTGCGAGGGGAGAGAGGGGAGGAAGGGGGGGAAAAAAACCTCCAAAGAGAGGAGCTAGCTTAACGTTAGCCTCGCTGGCTGGAACTAACGTTAAATCGCGAGGAGGAATGACAACCGTTGATTCATTTTGTCCTCCCTGGAAGTAAAATCCCACCACAACAAATGGGCCGAGGGCACCATCCTCTCCGGGCGAAATCGCGGATCACCCCTCCGCTTTTGCAAAAAAAACAAAAAAATTAAAAATAATGCGCATAGATCCTGTAGAAAACGCAGGGACAAGCCGTGGTGCTCGGCAGGTTATTTATGGCTGAGTGTCGAGCATCCATTCGCCAACTTCAGGTCCAGGACAACGCTTTGGGGGGAGAGGAGGTGGAGGAGGAGGAGGAGGACGAGAAGGAGGAGGACGAGAAGAAGAAAAAAAGCGCTGTGCGGCGTTGCTCCGTCAACGTGTCCGAGGAATCTGCAGTAAAGGCATCCAGAGCAGCACCGGGAGAAGGAGCACAACAAGGAAGCCCTCCTCCGCCTGGTTTGTGTATCACCGCCCGGGGCCGAGAGAAGCGAGGACGTCCCGGTGTTTGAATCTCCTGGAGAAGTTGGTGGACATCTGCTTTAATCGAACTCCATTTTCAACTCAGGGGAGGAGGGAGGAGGAGGAGGAGGAGGGGGAGCAGGAGGAGGGAGGGGGAGGAGGAGGGGGGTGAAACATCGGAAAACTGGGCGGATGTGTCGACCCTCGCTTTGAGAAAATTAGATCCTTCCGCGACGTAGTAAAAAAACACAACGCTCCTGCGGTGGAATCCGGAGAAGCAGCGCGCGATTTCTCAGAACACGTTAAAGAATCTCACGCTCGGTGGGAACTCGCGTTCCCCGCGCGGCCCCGCGCGATGGTTTCTAAGTGTTTCCCCTCCGAACTCGAGCCAAAGTAGTCCCCGCACTTCCCAGAAGAAGTTTCCCTTCAATCACGCATTGATACATGAGGGAAGCGTCTGTGTGATAGCACGCGAAGTAGAAAATAATCTGGAGGAAGGACTTGGACTGACACACACACACACACACACACAGCTCGGCCATTAACAAATTCAGTTGCGTTTCTTTCATTAAGTGTTTTTTTAACGCCCACGAAACGCTTCATGAAAAATGAAACTGCGTGAAAATGCTTCAAATGTACAAATGCAGAACTGCTGCAGCACGTGGAATTACACCAGGACCTGTTCATGGTTAATACAGCTAGAACCAAGCAGTATACATTAATTCTATTATTATTATTATGATTATTATTATCAGTCAAGTGGAAATGGAAAGTGACAGCGTGAGAAAAAGTCAGTTTATAAAATAAAATGAGGACATTTGATTAAACAGCTGTGATCAGGATCAGGATGCAGGATCGAGATCCTGAAGGTGGATCGAGGATCGGGATCATGGTGACAGCTGATCGTGGATCATGATTACAACTAGATTGCTAAAATATACAATATGCCTTCTTACACATACTACCATGACTGACAATATCTTTATCATTGCAACGGTCATTACTGCTCCCTTCATCTCTGTCAGACTTATTTTGTGTAAATACTATGATACACATGTTTTGGGGAGTTTTTCCTTTCTCCTGCTCAGGGTGAAGGGGAGAGGATGTCACACTTTGTTAACCCTATGAGACAATATATGATTTGTGAAGATGGGCTAAACAAATACAATTTGATTGATTGAGTGACTGTGATCTATTTTCAGGAATAGTGTGGAATGACAGCATGTGGTGCATTCAGTAATTCAATAGTCTATAGTGATGAATTAAAGAAAATGAGACACAAGTTACATCACCACCAAAACCACAAACAGGAGGTTTGGGGCAAAAACGAGCAAATGTGGTTGAAGTGAGGGCTAAAATAGTGGAGTCATGTAGTTGAAGCTGCCCCCCCCACCTTCTTGCTCCCCAGATTCTGTCATGGGCAGCTGAAGCACCCTTCAAAATAAAACAGTCCAATAAATTGCTGGGGAAAAAAACTCCATGTACGCTTCTATGAATGATATTTGCAAATGTATTTAAAAAAAAAGAGAAAGACTCAAATCGGTGGCCTGGTTGCATAAGACTTAAATGCTATTGGATTTCTGCGCTGTGTGGAATGGCAAGAGATCAGGCTAAATGATTCTGCCTGGTTGTCATAGTGACAGCATGTTGTGTGAGAAGTTTCTTTGTGTTTCTCTGGCTTTCATACAGCTTGTGCCACAGTCCTTATGTTAGTGGCCCTATAAAATATCCCTCTGTGTCACTCTGTAGAGTATAAATAGCCCATGCATGTAGGATCCTCACATGTGCAGCCCTGACACATATTGTAGACTTCCTGTGGTATTTGAATCAACTCTTTTTGTGTGCGGAGTGTGCACTGCTATCCTGATGACTGCCTTAGAGCAAAGATGAATTGTCTCCTGTGGTTGCTTTCTCACCAGAAACATAGATACCAGTCTGATATAAATGTTATGTGTGCTTATTCATCCAAACTATGTAATCGAGTAGCAGAGATCAATCTTTGTCTGTGTTTTCCTAAAATCGACCCCTTGTCTTCATTTCTTCCTTTTTGAATTCCATTACAATTGTCATCATCAAGCTTGCATGTCTGAATAAAGTGTCCCTTGTTTCAAATGGAGCAGAAAAGCCAGTGACCATGAATTTTCCCACTAGCATGTTTGTATCCTTCAGAGTATTCAGAGTTCAGGAAGTCAGCCCACTTTCTCATCTCACAAATGTGGATGGCCCGAGTGCATTTCCTGTGTTTTTCAACGCTGCACACAACACAAAACACACAACACACTGTAGTGTACTTAAATGAGGCAACCGGATGTTTATCTAACACAGGCGTCCCCTCGCTGAATGCAATCAGGGTCACTGCAATTCTCTGTAAGGCAGTAAACAAGCCAACATTCCTGTATCAGCAACAGGCAACAGCAGGATGAAAGACGTGTTCAGCTCAACGCAAAGGTCACTCAGTAGATTGAAACACAAATATAATCTTAAGCATATATATATATATATAACTTTGTTTTGTAAGGATTGACTCACTATTCCACTTATGAACTTATCTATAAATATGCAGTTTATTTCTGCTCTATATTGTATATAATGTCTAAAAAATATATGTAATAATAAAAACAATATCAATAATAAAAATTTGCATTCTTGCAAGTTTTAAATTAAAATGTGTACATGACAGAAATGGGGTATGACACTTTTCAACCTGGAAAATTCAGTGAGTACACCGTGGTGAGGGAAAAACCTGTATAGCTTGAAAAAAATGAAAACATTTCACCATAGCCACTCTAGTCAAGGTAGCATGAAAGATTAATTTAAATTCATGATGACTAGAATCAGATGACGACTTCAAATCACAGGTGATGTGATCACCAGCTCCCAGAAGCACAGGCAGCCTCTGGTCACAAGAGAGGAGTGAAGGCCTCTCTTTGTACAGCAAAGGAAATTCAGTATGCGGTTGCTGCCATACAGTCTGCTGAGACCCGAGGTGGCTGATGACAGCTCTCGGTAAATAACCTGATCTGAGGATCCTCTGCCTTATATTTGCTTTGTCTTGTCTCAAATAGTAGCTTAAGCCAAGTTTAGCCTCCTGCAGTTTGTGTTGACGTGTGACCTCCGGGGTTTTCAGAGTGTTAAAATGTTGTGTCTCAGAGAGAGGATCCCTTCATTTTGGCTGTGTGACCCATCGGACAACGTTGTAGGACTCTTGGCAGTTTGGGCCAAGAGGTGTGGCTTAAACAGGACGTGCTGATTTATAAAAGCCTGGCAGCTGAACACAACAATGCATACCTATGATTAGTGTGGGCCCGGCCTCGGAAGCCTGCAACTTTTAGGCACGCTAATTGCAGGGTGGTGAGTAGAAAAGGTGTAGTGGCTGGAGGGGAAGGAAGTCTGAGGGCCTTCAGGCATGTTTGACTAAGTTCTGTGAACCAGCTCTCCCTCTCTCTCTCTCTCTCTTTCCCTTGCTCTCACTCTTTCTCTCTTTCTGACAGTGTGTGTGTGTATATACATATCACCAGTGTGAACACTTACAATATAGCTTAATCGTCAAAAGAAATATTTGATGTTGGATTTTCTCTTTCAGGAATGTCTTCGCAGGCAGATGGATGTGATAATTCGATGAGTTCGTCAACGTCGAAGAGGAGCCGGTCTTGTGACCATGCACAAGGATGTTGGTTCAGATAGAAAGTCGTTACGGTGTGCAAAGCCCTTGAGAGACAGACATCTCTGGAATCGTCTAGGTCCTGTAAATATCCAGAATGTTAACTATGCAAGTGTCCAAAAAACACCAAACTTGAGGTTGTTGCAGAATGACATAAGTTATGTTCTCATGCTTAAGCTTAGAATTAACAGAAATCAAATGTGAAGTTCTGTCTTTAAAGAAAGATTTGGTTTCATACTTTATATTCAACAGCTTTTAACATGTTATATGGTGCATGTTTTGATGCTAAGACAGTCTTTTTCTGCACTCAAGATTTGCTTTGAGGGTTAGATTACATTTTGTGTTCAAGATCTGCTTTACAGTAAATTTGCACCAGTCGCTGACGTCCCAACTACAAAAATGGGAAACTAAATTGGTTTCAGTCTCAGTTAGCTTTTTCAGTGCTCGGGGCTCTGTTACTTCATATTGTTTATGTGTTGTGCGTGGGCTTGATTGAAACCTGATCTAGATGGGGAAGCTGTGTTTAGGGTGAGGTGGACAGGCCTTTGTTGCTGCCTGAGGGGTGTTTATTTGGGCGGCTTCAGTTGGCTTCCCTGTAATCATCATCCAGCCCCACAGGATAGAGGGGATTAATGAATATGTTGGAGGGGAAGTTACAGATGACTATTTACCATTCTCATGGGGATGAGAAGGAACAGCATGAGAAGTGCAGGGGGAAAAGTTTCAATGTGCGTGTGTGGACATGTGCATGCATGTGCAGGTGTTTGTGTGTGTTTTGGAAAGAAGTCTAAAGAAAAAGATTCTGATGTAATTTAAGTATTTTTATCTCAATAGACTTGAAATATAGTTTGACATTCTGAGAAATATGCTTATTTTGTTTCTTGGCAAAAGAAAATGACATGATTGTACAGTTCACGCAAAGCTGCCGCAACAGCTGGTGTAGTTTAAGCATGTTAGCATAACAACTGGAGACCATAGATTGTATATAAAGATGGACAATATGACTGCTCCCCAAAAGTGAAGCCAAGGCGTCTCAAGCACCACCTAGTGGCTGGCTGCAGTAAAGGGCACAAAACACTGCTTGCACCATATTAGCGAATGGGAAATGGGAAAACAAAACAAAAAAGTAAATGTAAAATAATTTTTTCCCAAAGATAGTTTTTAATTTTAGGTATTTTTTATCACACTGATTTCTGTTCAAGTGCAAGTTTGGTTTGAATTTGTTATTTGACCCTTTCAAAAATGGGTTAATTGTCATCGTTGACAGCGGAGACTGACTTCTAATTGGTCGACTAATGTATCGCAAAATAATAGACTAATATGATTATAAATTTAGTTTTTGTGCAAAGGTTATGAATTTTATAATTTTTGGACAAAGCCAAGCTAGCATTTATTTACCCCTGTGTCCATTCTTTGTGTTAAGCTAAGCTAACACACTGCTACAGCGGTGGCTAACTCTCCAGGA